TTTTAGAATAACAAGCATCTTCTAAAATAAGTCTCCACCCAAAAAGCTGAGGCTATCATTACGGAAGAGACTTAACACTCTAAAACTAAACCTTGACATGCTCTTCAACACCTCAAAAGTTACTCCACATCTCTGTACTCCAATTTCTTCATCTGTCACAAAGATATAATATGCTTGGAAGACTCTGTGGGGTGCTTACAAGAAAAACATCATTAGTGAAAAGCTCTGTTAAAAATGCAGATTGCTTTCACCTTTTGCCAGGGACTACCTATTACTGTGGACATTAAAACAAAGTGACCCATCTAAATAAGTGAAACATTTTGGCAATTTTATGGTGGGTGAAACATTATTTGGTTTTCCAACTTCTCCCCACTTGGCTTCATTTCAGTCTGTGGAGTATATCATCAAGTGAGAATGCTTCTGCGCCTTCATACTGCCCCACAGAGGGAGTGGCCAGCCTAAGCAAGCCTATATTCAATTACTTTCCCCACTTTATACCTTTCTTACACTTTTCCCATATGACACTTTCATAACCATATTTAGCTTTCTTCCTACCATCTCCCTGTAATTCAAAAGGCAATTTAGATTCCCATATGGTTGCTATCGAAGCTAACAGATGTCTAGCAAATTAAAACAAAAATTATGACTTATAAACTGCTGATGTATCATCATTCCAGAACATCTTGCAATTTATAGTGAATCATAAGATAAGACTTCCTACTTGATGCCCGCCCCCCCTCCCCACCAAAGTTTCCTGAGTCTCCCTCCTCTCTGAATTAAGCCTCGTGGAAGCAAATTAGAGGCAAGATCCTGCCATCAACCCTGAATAAACCTGCACTTAAAGACACAATGTAATATCTGAAAGCATATCAAAAGAGAAATTTGGCCTCAGGTATCTGAAGCTTTTCTAATCCTTTGTAGCAAAGAAAATAGAAAAATGACTTGGTTCTCCCAAATCATTTCACGGCTTCCATCGAGTTTTTTCCTAACAAGTCACTATAAAATCCATTGAATCCATTTGCCTCATCCTCTTGCCAGACCTTAAAGGTATTATCATTACCTAGTAGTAATGATGTCAAAGTACTAGACTAAGGCATTCGAGAAGTTCTATAGCCCTGTATGGAACCAGTATAAAATCTGGAGAGAATAACAATAATGATATTCACCATTTGTTAAATATTGAAATATTATGCTGAGTAAAACATGATCTCACTGAATCTTTGAAACTACACCACCATTAATGTTATCTTTCCTTTATAAACAAGAAATTAAGGCTCAGTGCCTTAATACAGTAGACTATATTTTTCAAAGACGGCCACAACCTACATGACCTTCTGCAATGTGACCTTGACGCTTCTCCATCAAAAGGTGGCTTCTAATTCTTCACCCTTTGAAATTGAGCAATCTGCATGAGTGCTTTAACCAGTGGAATAGATAAAAGTGGCACTGACAGTTCTCAGTGCAACCTTAACTGGCTGGAAGCTTCTTTAAGACTTTGAGACAGGAAGAAGCCACGTGTAGGTGCTCCAGCAACAACTCTGGCTAAGCTCCCAGCAAGCATCAGTTGCCAGTCATATGAGTATACCATCTTGGGCATCCTGCCCCAAAGGGCCTTCAGATAAGTCCAACTCCAACTACATCTCACCGCAACTGTGGGAGGCCCCAAGTGAGAACTGTCCAGATGAGCCTGGCCAAATCACAGAACTGTGAGCTATAATAATAAACAACTGTGTATTAAACAACTAAGCTTGGAGGTTATGTAGCAATAAATAACCAGAATATTGAGATCAATTTACTTGCCTAGAACAGTTAAGTATCCAGAATCCAAAACAGTCAAGAGCCAGAATCCAAAAGGGCAAAGTATCTATTAATGATGAGTGATGGGACGTGAGGTTCAGTACCCAAAAGAAATGACTTTAAAACAAAACCCTCTTTCTCCTCCCTCCCCTAAACCCAAAGCAGTCTCAGGGTTTTCTGACAAATGTCCCAGTACGGTGACACCCTCAATAAAATCAATCCCCTTCTGTCTTGAGTTGTTCCAACATATAACACAGAAAACAAGTTTTTCCCCCACCACACTGTGATAACTAATGAGAAAGGAATCTGTACAAGATGTTGACTTTGTTACTCAGAATATCATTACAACTGTTATATAAAAGGATTCAGATTTTATACATGAAGCTGTAATTCTAATAATAAAAATATATTTAATGACTCCCAGGACTACATCTGAGATTCACAGTAGGGAGAGAAAAGCACGGATACTATACCAGCAACTGAACAAGCCAAGAAGAAATTAGTGAAAGGTTTTTTGTTTTGTTTTTTTGAGACGGAGTCTTGCTCTGTTGCCAGGCTGGAGTACAGTGGCACGATCTCGGCTCACTGCAGTCTCCACCTCCCGGGTTCAAGGATTCCCCTGCCTCAGCCTTCCGAGTAGCTGGGACTACAGGTACCCACCACCACGCCCGGCTAATTTTTTGTATTTTCACAGGGACGAGGTTTCACCATGTTGGCCAGCATGGTCTTGATTTCCTGACTTTGTGATCCATCCGCCTCAGCCTCCCAAAGTGCTGGGATTACAGGCGTGAGCCACTATGCCCGGCCTTGGTTTTTTTTTTTTTTTCTTTCTTTCTTTTTTTTTTAAATGGAAGGATCTTTGAGGAAGAAATGAAAGCAATAAAACTAGTCTTCAGACAAGTCTCCCTAACAGAAAATGTCTATAATTTATCAAATGTCCTGCGAGTCATACACTACTTCTGTTATATATTCGTGGCCAAACTCTATTTTTCTTCTCCAGCATACTGGAACTCAAGAAACTCATTCTGTGTAAGAACTAGAAAGAACGTTATAACTTGTCCAGTTCCTTCAATTTAACAGCTGAGAAACTGAGGCCCAGGCAGTTAACTAACAAAGAGCCAAACTGTTGATCAGAAAAAGAACCAAGCTCTCGGTGCTGGTGCCACCATATGTTCAATTTTATTTTACCAGAACTATACCTGTAAATGTCACCAGTGTGTATGTCAAATGTAGTCTAGCAGTTCAGTGTGAAAATGAACAATTAGGAAACCATGCTGTTGGCAATCTCCTCTTCATAATTGTATTGGAGTAGCACCGAGTCTGCTGTTTTTGGCAATCACAGACAGGTTGGTGACTCTGTAGAGAGCAGAAGTGTGCAACTTTTCAGAAGCAAGCTGCTAAGCTACTGACCCCGGCTTTTCAGTCACTAACATCTTAGTCTGAATTACTTTAACCAAAACCATATGGTTGCCTTTCTGTTGATCATCACTAGAGACCATGGTATTAAAAAGCAGGAAATTTAAATATGGGGTAATTTTGGAGCAGAGAGCAGGACAGGAAAGGTATGAGGGAGTATCTGAGAGAAAGGCTTCGGGCACAGAGAGGAGAAGAAGGGAAGGCAAGAGGCAGGCTAAGTGAACGGCCCTCATAACGAAGATATCCACTTAACAGTTCTGCCTGGGGCAGCTGGTTTAGTCCCATAGCCTAGGTCTCCTTTCAGGCTTCCCATACTCACTCACCCACTTATGAAGACCTTCACAATCAGAAAAGATGCGGCTCTATTCTGAACTTCTCCATGCAAGCACTCTGCAATTCTTTGAAGCTCTCTACAATTCCAGGGGTTTTGCTGCAACCTAATCCATAGAAAGGGCTAAATTTGTCTCTGTGCACTCTACAAAATTACAGCAAACTATGAGGGAAACAGGCCCAAATCCTTTTACTTCCTTACCACCCCCTGCTAGGAAACGGCAGAGAAAGTCCCTGGGTGCTTTTTGTTGCTGGGTAGCTACAATGTGCAACTTTTAGAAATGTTCAAGTAGAAACAAGAGGCCTGAACTCACTATCCCAAAAAGAATCAGTACCAGTTCGGTAGTCCGTGCCTCTCCAAGTCACAAAGTTTCAAGTTCCAATCAAATCAGATGATCTTATTCAAAAACGTGACTACCCACCACTTTAAAACATTTTCACAAACGGAGAAGGGGTAAAGAAAGAAAATAATTTCTTCTTCCTGTATTTGTAGCAGTGTTTAATTGCAAGGAGGTGGGTGACTGCTCCCGGCAATCATGCACAACGCTGGCAAAAAACTGCCTGTGGAATGATCGGATATGACATCCATTCATGTATCCCCTCATTATCTTTATTAGTCCTGAAGACAGATGACATGCTGCCACGGAAAGTGGTCTCCAATCTCTTCCATTTCCCCATCACAAAGCATACATGACCAATGCAAGGTACTATTATGGGAAACAGAAAATAAAATAACCTGGAAAGAGTGCGGTACAAAAAAAAGAATATGAAGAGCCGTATTGACAACTATTCTCACAGATGTATATATGTACAGCAAACAGCCCAAATTAAAGGAGAATCCAAATAAATACATTCCGTGTTCAAACTGCTGTGGATAATTATTGATCCTGCAGTTGGATCATTGTTTACCTCACACTGAACAGCAACTTAGAGAATCCCCCACCCAGACAGCCACCATCTTTACTTTCCATGGAAAAGGGGGTGCCCATTGAGGAAGAGGATGAGATGGGATGAGAAGGGGAAGAAAAATAACATGGTCTTCGAACCAACGTTTTCCCCTTGTCCTGGAGAACTCTTTGTCTGGCTGCTGAACACGTTTGCCAGATCAAAGAAAAGAATCAAAACAAACAAAAAGAGCAGGCGTCCCAGCCTAATTACAATAGGTGCCCAACACATTGCAGTCCCAAGCAGAGCATAATTTGAACCTTGTGTTAAAGCATTTGCTCTCTCTCTCGGTTTCCCAATGAAACATGCCTCGCACACCTCCTCGCACACCTTCTCCTTCTCCAAAGGTTTTCCCAAAACGGCCCGCTCTGTGTCACTCCTGTAAAAATGAGGACGTGGGGCACGAGCACGTTGAAATATGTGTTGACGGTGACTTGTTATTATCCTGACAATGATATATACATATAAATAAATCTCTACCCCGCACGCCCACTGGCCAGTCCATTACGCACAAGGAGCGCTTTCCAGCTAAAGAGGAGAGCGTGCAGGAAACGTTATTTACGTGCACATTACAGAACCATATACCACAGCATCTGCATCCTACACAAAGCCCGAGATGGTGCAAGAAGATACACGCTGAGCATGGCACAGACCAGCCGCGGCAACACAGAGCCAAGCCCTCGTCCAATCAGATCGTTGTTAGAAGGTGGACCTCAGGGTCGGCTGCGCCCGATTAGCCTTCCCTATTATGACACCACGCTCTGCCCAACATCCATATCCCACCCGGAGCAAATCCAATTCGTGCGGTTGCTCATTTCTCAAACTGCCGAACCCTTTCTTTTATCTGCATCCCTGCTATTCGTTCCTTAAAAAGCCACCAGAAGGCCTCGGTGCCCCCTTTCCGCCTCGGTTTCTCTTTTTACCTCTTCCCATTCCTCGAAAGGATTAAATGTTTATCTCTCCAACGCGCAAGCTGGAAAGGCGGAAGGCGAATGCCTCTACGCTGCTCCGGCAAGCGCCTGCGGGGCTGCGAAAAGTAAAGGCAACGAGCAACGTGGGGGAAATCGTCGCGAATCGATCG